AAAAAAAAAAAAAAGAATTTCGAGGAATATTATATATTATCTGCACGGAATTCGTAACCAAAAAAGTTTCTTTCTACTTTTAAAAATTCGCGTAAGGAAGGAAGAAACCACCTGCGAGTGACAACGAAACCGGAACTTCGACAATCCTCCAAGTTTTAAAACTCCCAGCGTTCCGGTAATACCAATTGAAATACCTCGACGAAAATCCATTTGCAGTATATCATACGGCTCCTGGCATCACGTTAAAATTATCGATGCCACTGACTTGATTTATCGCACTTCAACTGTAACAGCCCTTGCTGAAACTTGTCTTTTGAATTTCGAGAAAGCTGATCTCTGAAAAGAGAAAAAGAGAGAGAGAAAAGAAAAAAGAAAATAAAAGGAAAAAAAAGAAAAGACGAAAGAGATAAATTCCACTGGAATAATTTTATAAATTCAATTTTCAAACATCAACTTTCATCGTTTCGACATCACGTTAGGATTATTAATATTATTATTTTGATTCATTGCACCTTGATTATGATATATTTCTTATGGAATTTCAAGGAAGTTCAGTGTTTAAAAAAGTGGAAAAGGGGGAAAGAAAGAAGACGAAAAATTTTTCTTCTTACAGAGACTTTTCTTAAAAACATTATTTCACAAGATTTTTAAGATTTGTCGATTGGTTTGATACTTTAAGGATCACGCAAAGAATTTTCTCTTTAAGAAAGAAAAAAGAGGAAAAGACGACAGTATCCCTCTCGGATAGTTTGCCCCTTCTTCAACCCTTTGTACTGAAACAATTTTCAAATATAAATTAAAAAAAAAAAAAAGAAAAGAAATAACTGGAGAGCAACCCCCGAAAGAAACTTTGTCAGGGACGAAAACAAGAGAAACCTGAAAGAATTCACTTAAACACCGTTCGTACAGCGTTAAACCTCCCTCGAAACGTTTATACGGAGGGGGGGAGGGAGGAAACTGTATTTATTCAGTCGGCGTTCGTAGAAGCGGTTCACGGCAGCTAAAAACTCTGCAAGAAAATAAACCA